CGTCTGAGTCCACTGGTTGTGAGCCGAAGATGGCCTTGCCATTCCAGGCGGATAGGTTGTGGATCCACCAGGTCAGTTCGTCTCGGGATTCTGAGTCCAGGGAAACCAAGTCTGCATATGGCGAAGATGTGCGATCTTCAGGCGTTGGAGGGCACGATAATGGAGCGGGGCTGGGAACACCGCCTGGAGTGAGGAGGCCAGCAGGCCAATGAGTCGTGCCAGGTGCCGCAGCGACAGCTGGGGGCGTGCAAGGGCGCAGCGTTGTTCCTTGCGGATTGAACGTATTTTGGCCGGAGGGAGACTGAGAGGGAGACTGAGAGACTCCGCTTCTGAGTCAACTGTGAACACGAGGAACTCCATGTGTCGGGAAGGGGATAGGCAGGATTTTTCCCCATTGAGCAGGAAACCCAGCCAACAGAGTAGATCCATCGTCCATTGTAGGTGTTTCAGGAGGACCCCCCGATCTTGTGCCATGAGGAGGATGTCGTCAAAATAGACTATCAGTCTTACCCCTCGGCTGCGCAGCCAAGCCATGGCAGGTCGCATCAACTTGGTGAAGCACTACGGAGCTGACGAGAGCCCGAAGCGGAGGCATGTCAATCGCCAAGTGTCGCCTTTCCAGAGGAAGCGTAGTAAGTCCCTGGATGTCTCGGTCACCGGGACTGTTAAGTAAGCATCTTTGAGGTCTAATTTCGCCAACCAGTTTCCGCGAAGGAGTAAGTCCCGCAGGAGATGGATGCCCTCCATCGTGAAGTGGCGGTAGCGCACTAGGGAATTTAGGGCCCGAAGGTTGATAACTGGGCGCATCTGGCCGCCTTTCTTTTCCACAAGGAAGATGTTGCTGATAACACCTGTAGGGGATATCAGGGCTCGTTCTACCGTTCCCTTTGTGAGGAGGGCCAATAGCTCCTTGTCTATTAAGGCGCGGTTTGCCCTTGAAAGTGCAATGGGGTGAGGGGGAGGGATATGACACGAGGTGTCTACCAATTCTATGTGAAACCCCCTCACTGTGGACAGAACCCAGGAGTCTGAGGTGATGACTAACCAGGCATGGAAAAAATGACGGAGTCTGCCCCCTACACAGATATTGGAAAAAGCATGAGGTAGGTGTATTCTTACCGTAAGGGCATCTGAAACCGGGGTTCCCTCTGAAGCCTCTGGAGCGCTACGGTCTTCCACGAGAGGGGAAGAAGGGGGACTGGTGTCTCGTATCCTGGTAAGGTGGTCTCTGGTTGTAGGAGCCCGTCCCGATCCATGGGAGTTGAAATTTGTCCGGCCGGACAGACGGCCCCTGAATCTGCCGGCCCTGGTAGAGACCCATCCCTGAAATACCCTCTTCATAGAGGATTGGGCCTTGTCTAGGGCAGTGAAAGCACCTACAAAGCGCCCCAGATCCTTGCTGAAGGAGTCTCCGAATAACAGGCCCTGGGCATCTTTGCCTGCCTCAGTGAGGGCGAGGTTGGCCAGTTTGGGCTCAATTTTGAAGAGGATGGCTTTACGCCACTCTATAGACAGGGAGGTGTTCACACTGCCTGCTATGCAGATCGCCCTCTGTACCCAACCACGGAGTTCTTCCGGGTTAACCTGCCTGTTTTCAGCTCTGGCTAGTTCGGCCAGGTCAAATAATTTAACCAAAGGGCCAAAAATGTCCAGGTGTTTGTCCTGGCAGGACTTTAATGCGGAATCCAAACCCTTACGAGGATTCCAACCCATCTTGGAAAGAAACTGTGTCATTTTTGGGTCAACAATGGGAGTCTCACATACTTTACTGGGAATCAGGGGTCTAGGACATTCTGCCCTAAGTTTGTTGCGCACCGCCTTGCTAAGGGGGCGCAGTACCCAGTCCTTCAGGTACTTTGCTACATGGGCGGCTGGGAGCCATTCTGCCGACCTTGGGTGATGGAGAGCATCCGGGTCAAACATAGGTTCCCCAGACGGGTCCATGAGGGTTGAACCCTCGGTAGCGGGGGAGTCGCTGCGAGAGCCACTAATTGCCAACCCTGATAGGGCAGGGGCAAAAGGGTCAGTGTCCTGCCCGCCAGTCTCATCATTGGAGTCATCTACGGACTCATCAACAGCCTCCTCACAAGACCCGATTTCTGAGTTGGAGTCGCTCTCTGCATGTGCTCTGGCATATTTCCAGTGTCACGCCCATTCTGCCTGGCACGGAAAGGCTCTCTTGCGTGACATAGGCACGCTGTCATGGGTGGATATATTCACACCAGTCTTATTGGTTCTGGAGGAATTTCCCCTATAGGGTTTGAAGAGGAATGCGCTAAGCGCGTTGGCGTGGCTGATCCCTCTGCGGGCACAGGGCGTGCCAGTAAGACCTGAGAGATAGTTTGGGAAAGGGCCGAGGACATGGAGCCCATGGCGACCATAATGGCATCTGTAACGGAACGTTGTAGTGCCAGGGCCTGGGCATCATCAGGCACCGACATAGGGTCACCAGCAGAGGAAGGGGGGCCAGAGCTGGCCGAGTTAGGGTTATCCAGCACACGGGGTACATCCATATCCCCATGGGAAAGTGGGGTGGCAGACCCTTTAGACTTGGGCATAATAAATATCTGTGAGAGTTATCCCAATGACATAAGTTAGAGTATATATAAATATAATGAGCTGCTGAACTAACAGTGAAGATTAAACTGAGAGAGGTAGCATCAACTAGCAGGAGTTAATCACCCCAGACTAGTTATACCTAATAGGAGGGTAAAGTTAGGGAGCTCACCAGGGTCCTGAGCAGCAGATAGGAAGAGGACACGAGGAAAAGTAAGGAGACTGGGTGTTAGAAAATGGCCGCCAGCAATCTCGCGAGTGGAAAAAGAACCGAACGTTCGGCAGAAAGAAGCGAATACATGAGAAACAATAGAGGAGAACATAGCAGGGGCGAATTAGCCGGCCATTCGCATAGAAATTCGAACGCGGCAAAAGGCAAATAGGCAAGTGAATGAGGCAAGCTAGCGAACAGGGGAAATTCGTGAGAACAGCCGAACTGCATAAGACATAACAGAAGAAGAAACTGCCGAACGGGATGAAGAGAACAGGCGCAAAGGGCACCAAAGAGACAGGAGGAAACTGTAATGGAGGTAGTAAAAGCATCATAGCTTACAAGGAGGAACGGAAAAGGGTTCAAGTGGTAGGTTGATATAGAAATAATGCCAGAAGAGGGGGGTCTGGAACCCTGGGCTCAATTATAACAAACACAATAAAAAAACAAAACACACAATAATAAAACTGCAAGCAGTAATTAACACATGAATGGTACAAGAAAAACCAACAAAGAAAATGTCAATAGTGCAGATAAAACAGTAGACATAACCATAAGGCAATGATAAGGAGAAAATAGTCATGTACTTATCTGTTTGGTAGCAGAAAAGAAAGAGGAATTGGGTGAGGAGGTGCTGCCTATTATACTGGGACTTGGTAGGGGAGTGTTCTATCACTATGGTTACCGTTTTTTCTTACTGTTTGTATTCTTTGCTCCTATTGGTGGACAGTAAAGAAAGTGTTATGCAATATGAGCTTCCGTGTCTTGACATAAAATCAGATGTTTCCTCCTCTTAATTTTAAAAGTAAAATAATCTACTTTGCCTCAGACACAGAGGATTGTTTTTATTCTCTCAATTCTTTAATCAACCTCTTTCTTTAATCAATTTAATCTCAAAAATTCTATGCTGATTCTATGATTCCACACCTTCTCCTTCTCCACCATACTAACACAATTTTTTTCCCATTTATTCAATCTCTTTCATACCAATCGAACATACCCTGCTTACTACAAATAGGTGTCCATCACCCCTATTTTAAACACATCCTCTTCCGACCCTTTGTCTTTAATATATGGCACCTATAGCTATTGCTTTGTAATACAGGTCCTCTCCACTCTCTCTCATTGTTGGGGATATCTCAAGGCCTCATTCTTGCCATCTTCTCTTTTCAGTTTATACATCTTCTCCTGATGAGAAAGAAAACTTTGGAATCCCATATCATCTGTATGCTGATGAAACACTAAGTTACATCTTCTGCCTTGACCTCACAACATACGTACTATAATCCTGTGCCAGTCTCTATACTCTCTTTCCTGATGGACCCTGTTACTTTGAGCTTCACGTCTCAAAAAAACAAGTCAGTGATCTACCTTCAACTTCACAACATGAATCCATCTTCATATTTTAAATAATATCACATTTAGACTACTCCAACTTTGATTTAATATTTTGGATGAGCTTTTTAAATGGTCACACTCTGTTAAAAAAGCTTTTATAATGATTTATCTCCAAATATTCTCGTAGACTTTATTGGGGACTTCTGTAGATACATAATTTGAAGAAAAAAAAAGTCTTGCAGATTATGATAATTTGAAAAGATTATAAAAAAATATTAAATTGAGCCATTATTTTAGCCCTTCTCGACATTTCCTTTCCAACTCATTTATAAGCAATCGTGATGTCGCGAACCGTTCGCGAACTTCCCGCGAACGGCTCGCCACGGTTCGCCACGAACCGTTCGCGGCGAGCTCCGGTCAGCTGACACATCCCGGCCAATCTCCAGCAGACCCTCCCTCCCAGACTCTCCCACCTCCTGGACAGCATCCATGTTGAAGCTGCCTTCGTGACGAACCGTGGCGAGCCGTTCGCGGGAAGATCGCGAACGGTTCGCGACATCACTAATAAGCAACTGTGATATAGTGAATCTTATTCTTGTTCATCATTTAGTCCATTGGTTCCCCATTATTTTCAGAACACAAAGCCTATAAAACATTTGAAAAGTTGAAATCTTCAATTATTAACCAATTCTTTATCTATATTTTTCCTTCCAGTTTGAGGCGCTATGTATAGATGACATATTATTTTTAACATGCAACTTTATCAATTCCTGCATGACACTTCAATTTTCAGAAATTAATTGTACTTACCAAAGAAAGCAACAGCAAATCCTTCAATTACACAACCAACCCTTCCCAAATTAAAATAGCCAACTGCATTTGTTTCTACAGTCAGCATTCCTCCCAATATTGTTATTCCGAGATCCGCGACAGCCAGGTTGACCAAAGAGTAGTTAATGGGATGTCGGAGTTGTCTGTATTTAAAAGTTACTACAATGACTGTGATGTTCAGGATCAGCGAAACAGTACAAAATATTGCCATAATGATAGCCAGGATAGTATAACCAATCCGTGGCATGAAAACCTTGACAGTTTGTGCATCTCCAGCGGTGAGGTTCTGCAGAGATTCTTCACGAGCCATTTCTTTTGAGGTCACTCTGTCGAAAAATCTCACAGCGATGTGCAGACACAGTCGTAGTCCTGCTGAGCTAGTTTCTGAGCTGTCTTAAGATTTTCTCAGATCTCCCGTGCTATTATCAACAAATGATATAGCAGAGATTATAGGACACTTACAGCAAATCCTACAATCCGGATTTATTGGACATAATTCCCCTTTCTCATCAAAATTCTAATTATTGCAACATAGATCATCTGAAAATATGTACCTTGCAATGCGTACAAGAATAGAATTGCAGCAATTATATCAATCTTTTATTCATGAGATAAATAAATGCTGATAACAATTTGATTCAACAATTCTGGCAGTCCAGATGTTGCTGCTAAATTTCCCACGATGCTTAGCCAGCTGCATAATGCTTCACACTGGCTAAGTAGCTGGCTGAAAATCATTGTTAATATACTCTACAATTTAACAAACAGCCATTCAAATTCAGTAGAGAATCTTTGGCAATATAAAATCTCATACTGCATTGCTCTTTGCGTTTTATTATTGACATGTAAAGTATAGACACATTTATTGTGAAGAGCATCTGTCTATGAACAGCTTAAAGTTTAAGATCCTATGCTACTACCCAGGCCTTAAAAGTTACTAGCCACTGCAAGCCACAGTATATCCTCCATGGGTGAATTTATGCTTCTCAGGGAAACATTTTCAATGGCTTGTGGCGATTTTTGTTCCCTGATTTATTGTAACACTCACTATTGAGTTCCAGACTGGCTTTGGAAGCAAGCTCTGTACAAGAACAGTTTATTTAGAGCTTCATGAAATGGATTCTGCTGCCAAACAACTGCACACACGTCTAAAATGACCATGCACAATGCCAAGATGCGGGAATGAAGCAGGTCAAACATATTATCTGCAATTTGTTGACCTACACCTCACCACTGTACAATAAATAATCGGCTAATGCTAGATGAACACTACTTGATGGACAGCATGATGCTAACTGATAAATATGGAATATGGAAGAATATATATATATATATTTTTGGCCTAGGTGAGGTGTTTTTAAATAAAACTATTACAATCTCTAAGATTTTAAATCATTGTTTAGTGAATAAGCGAGTATGCTGGATTCTGTATTTTGTATATTTTGGCCCCAGCAGCACCCTATAATGTTTGCATGTTCAGGTGAGTGCAGCCCTCTTGGTTTCTTTTATATATTTGGGAGTCCCAGGCCAACTCCTTGGTTTTGCATCCCTCCCTGTTACAGGTGCCTCATTAGAGGACCCTAGGAAACCTTGACTTCCAGAGAGCCCCAGTAAAGAAGTATTTCCCAAGTAAGTGGATTAATCTAATTATAAGAGCAAGCATTAGGCTGTTAATGTAGGATAGGTCCTGCCGAATATGGGGTACTTTGACGTAGTTGGCAGGCTAATGCAATGTATGATCATATAATGTAACTATACCCCCATCATTTTTTGCCTAGGTGAGGTGTTTTTAAATAAAACTATCATAATCTGTAAGATTTGAAATCATTGTTTAGTGAATAAGTGAGTGCGCTGGATTCTGTATTTATATATATATATATATATATATATATAATTTTTATAAATTTTCAATTATAGAAACATTTGATGACATGCACAAAACTACAAAGCCAATTTATCCATTGACATAATTTTGATTAATATTAACCCCTTAAGGACACATGACATGTTCCAGACGTTTGTTCCTTAAGGGGTTAAAGACAAACAGGACGTCACCGAACATAACAAACAAACAAGACAAAACAAAAACAAAAAAAAAAGACCTCATACATGTTCCTGAGAATGATTTGTTTCAAATGCTTTCAACCATGCCTCCAACATATAGTGGCAACTTTCCCAGAATAGTTAAGGCTGTATGTTAGGTAAAAGTTGAAACCTATTCTTTTTTAATTACCGTAATTTTAAGTTGTGCTGTTTTTTTTAACAGTTATCCACATGCTTTAGAGTCATGTTTACAGTAGACCTTTATCAAACTTGATAAAGACATTAAGGCCAAATTGATTCTGTTTGGTTGTGGAACCTCAATAAAATGCATTTCACCTGAAGTGATGTGTTGGACCATTACTTCTTTTTTGGATTAGTACCATTTACTGGTTGGCCGAACTAGGGTTACATTACACCCACGAAGTGTGAGTACCATTACCTAGGTATGTGCTGGCAACTTTCATTTAAAAAAAAAAAAAAATTTTTTTTCTTCAGACTGATTTAACATTGTTTGATATTAAAAGGATTTTTCACTTAAATAGTAATGTAGATACTGACAATTGCACATTTAAAGGACCACTATAGTGCCAGGAAAACATACTCGTTTTCCTGGCACTATAGTGCCCTGAGGGTGCCCCCACCCTCAGGGACCCCCTCCCGCCTGGCTCTGGAAGGGGGAAAGGGTTTAAAACTTACCTTTTTCCAGTGCTGGGCGGAGAGCTCTCCTCCTCTCCGCCTCTTACGCCCCGCCGGCTGAATGCGCACGCGCGGCAAGAGCTGCGCGCGCATTCAGCCGGTCTCATAGGAAAGCATTTACAATGCTTTCCTATGGACGCTTGCGTGCTCTCACTGTGAAAATCACAGTGAGAAGCACGCAAGCGCCTCTAGTGGCTGTCAATGAGACAGCCACTAGAGGATTAGGGGGAAGGCTTAACCCATTCATAATTATAGCAGTTTCTCTGAAACTGCTATAATTATGAAAAAATGGGTTAACCCTAGAAGGACCTGGCACCCAGACCACTTCATTAAGCTGAAGTGGTCTGGGTGCCTAGAGTGGTCCTTTAAGGTTAAAATAGCCATTCCTGAAATGTGTGACATGACTATTCACTAAATTGGGAAATTTGGGTGGATTTATCTGGGAATTTCACTGTCATTCAAAGAAGCCAAACTGAAAAAAACCAAATCCCAATACAACCAGTCTAAAATGAATTACCAGTTTAATGAAGAGTTTACCTATCATGATTTTCAAACATTGTTCACCCTGTAGTTTAGAGTACACTGCAAATTGATGTGGAAACACTACCTACTACTACTTCAATTCACTGTTTCCTTCTAATCCACCTCAGCCTTGCCAGATGGACATTTGGCATTTCCACGCACCTCGCATACTTGCATACGTAAGATAATTGTCATATTTAAATCTACACAGTGACCTACAAAATAATTACATGACAGATATAGCATTTGGGTTAATGTAATAGCATTAATTCAATGAAGGATTTCATAAACTGGAGTGTCGTCAGATAAGCCAGATAAACTTCTATCTGAAACACATCCTCTAAATAAGCTCATTGCAACCTGGCCAGCCAATGTAATTATAAAACTGACAAGGGTATTTAAGGTTTTATATCCCAGCTCATTGTATTATGAAGCTGGTCATCTCCTGACTAAATGACTTGTAGTGTATTGATACATGATTGCCCTTCATGCCTACATTTTAAACTATCTAAAACCCCAATCCCCCAAAATAACTTTAATGGAGGGTTAGGCTTTGCCAAGACATTTTTAACATAAATGTTTAACTAGTTTCTGGCTGGCTTCTGTTTCATAGTCCGTTTCATGTTTCCTTAGGTTTGGCACTAGCTGAACCAGGAACCCTATGTTCTCCAAAAGAACTCCACACTTGACTAGCTGTTGCCCAAGGCCAGAATTATCATATAATTCCTCGAGAGATGAAATTGAGATATTAGCATTGGGTATATATTCTTATATGGGCAACCTGTGAGTTTCCTTCTGGCACCACCTCCACCAGATACAAGACACTTGGGAGGTATTTTTTGTGTGTTTCCTGTCTATAAGATTCTGTAATTAGGCCCATCATAGTCATCTGAACCCAAGGCTCAGCAGGCTCTAAATCCAGTACAATTAAACCAAAACTGGAGGAGATTGAGTGAATTGTAACAATGTATACCCACAATCCAAAACATTTACAGATAAAGCTAACCAATCCACTTTAACCTTGCAGACAGATCATTGGCAGATATACATTTTTTTTTTACAAAAAATGCCAACTTTCAAGGTTATTAATTAAATTGTGGAAAGGTGAGTTGAAAAGGGAACTGAACATTTCTGTCCACTATAGCTGAATCAATAAACAACTCTAACTCTGCTATTACAGTGTTCCTCATAAAAAAAACAAAAAACATTGGGACCTGCTGCTTATATGCAGAAATTACCACTCTTAACCAGTTGAATAATTCTGACAGAGAAGCAGTACACTACATAAAGTCAGGAAGATTATTGTCCGGTGCTGGATTCCAGGTAAGTTTTGACTTTACTTTTCTAAAGGAATAAAGGAGGACCTATTATCTAGTGCCCAATAGAGCACTATAAAGATCAATATTTTTTAAAAAAAGGGTTGAAGTGATCCTTTAAACATGGAAGTAAAAGTCTTCAGTAATTAAGTGCATGTCAGTCTGACAGGCAGTAGACGCATGTTATTGTAAAATATATACATTGCCGTTTCTCTGAAAATGTTCTACATTACCAGACCTCATGGATTGGGCCTACCAGCCAAAGCCACTAAGAAGAAATTATTTTATACTTAGAGGATCCCTTTAAAGTGGCACTGTCACTCTCCCAGGATCTGTTCTTCTTTTCTTCCTAACTGATTTAGTTTTTTTTAAACATAAGACAAAGTAGGGACTATGTTGTCTTATGTATTTTTACTGCGCTTGACCAGCTTTGAGCCAGAGGAGGAACTAAGTCCGCTCCATTTCCTGTGGCCAAAACAATTTTTCCACAATACTCACTCTAGTGTTCCCCCTCAGCCCCCACCCATGAGTGGTGGATGGGAATCCTAAGTTACAAGGTGGGGTCCTATTGTCCCATCCCCCCTGGCCCACACCCATGAGCTGCAGGTGGGGGCCCTAAGTTACAATGGGGGGGACCTATTGTCCCATACCCCCTGGCCCACACCCATGAGCGGCGGGTGGGGGCCCTAGTGACAATGGGGGGGGGGGGGAACCTAGTGTCTCCACCTTTTATTTTATTTGAGGGGGTGACTAGGGGCTTGGGGACTCCTAGTCACCTTGATGGGGTGTTATTTTAACACTAAGCCTACGGGGGACTATTATGATTCAGGGCCCCCACCTACCGGTCATGGGTGGGGGCCAGAGAAAGGGACAATAGGTCCACCCCTATTGTTATTTCGGGCCTTCGTTAGGCATGACAGTACCGCTTTAACACATGTTTTAACACCGTCAGTATTTATTGCCACCCCCAACTGGGTGAGAGGGGATTTGCATTGTTACAATGTGATAATGTGTTCCTGTGTTATGTTGCGCAAGGTTCCTTGTGATGTTCTATTGCAAAACTTAAATGAAAATATTACGAAAAAGAAGAAAGTCTTACACTTAAAGGAAGGAGAGGGCAATTACATAGAAACAGGGAAGATATCTCAGACTAATATCAATTTGCTGTGCTAGCTGTGCCTCCCGGATTTGACCCATTGTGACCTACTCTGTTTTACTATGATACAGCTTCACAGACAGTCAGCAGTTCACAAGGTGAATGCAGTTTAATGACTTTTTAATGAGATGTTACTGGTCCATGCTGGAGCAATCAGTCTTTGCTGGCAAGCTCCCAGCGTGCACTTTTGAAAACCAAGCCCCCCTAATGTGATGACTATTGTGGCTTCAATGCTTTTAGGCAATCAATCCTGCATATGGAAGCAGGAAAGGCCGAATACGCTCTGAATGTTGTGCAAGGAGCTCAGTTTAAGGTGTACTAATGATATAAAACTGGCTTCAGAGGGATACTAAGCTCTGCACACTGATAGACAGAGATGATTCCTTCTCTTCTCATTCAGTATGTGACGCTGATTCAGTCTCACATTTATTCCTATTGAATCAGGAAAGATTAGATCTTTGCCCATTGAATCAGGAATGGTGGAATCTATACCCATTAAATCAGGACAGGTGAAATGTCAGACCATTTAATCAGTACAGGTGGAATCTATTTCCATTGAATCGGGACAGGTGGTATGTCAGCCCATTAAATCAGGACAGGTGGAATTTATGCTCATTGAATCAGGACAGGTGGAATTTATGCTCATTGAATCAGGACAGGTGGAATCTCTGCCCATTGAATCGGGACAGGTGGAATGTCAGGCAATTGAATCAGGACATGCGGCATCTCTGCCAATTACATCTGGACAGGGGAATCTCTGCCCATTAAATCGGGACAGGTGGAATCTCTGTCCATTGAATCGGGACAGGTGGAATCTCTGTCCATTGAATCGGGACAGGTGGAATCTCTGTCCATTGAATCGGGACAGGTGGAATCTCTGTCCATTGAATCGGGACAGGTGGAATCTCTGCCCATTGAATCGGGACAGGTGGAATCTCTGCCCATTGAATCGGGACAGGTGGAATCTCTGCCCATTGAATCGGGACAGGTGGAATCTCTGTCCATTGAATCGGGACAGGTGGAATCTCTGCCCATTGAATCGGGACAGGTGGAATCTCTGTCCATTGAATCGGGACAGGTGGAATCTCTGCCCATTGAATCGGGACAGGTGGAATCTCTGCCCATTGAATCGGGACAGGTGGAATCTCTGCCCATTGAATCGGGACAGGTGGAATCTCTGTCCATTGAATCGGGACAGGTGGAATCTCTGTCCATTGAATCGGGACAGGTAGAATCTCTGTCCATTAAATCGGGACAGGTAGAATCTCTGTCCATTGAATCGGGACAGGTGGAATGTCAGCCCATTGAATCAGGACATGTGAAATCTCTGCTCATTAAATTGTGCCAAGAGATATCTCTGCCCATTGAATTGGGACAGGTGGAATCTTTGTCCATTAAATAAGGACAAGTGGAATCTATGCCCACTGAATCGGGAGAGGTAGAATCTCTGCCCATTGAATCAGGACAGGTGGAACTTTTGCAGATTCGATCAGGAGTAGATTTGGAGATTCACTGTTTTGTCTTTGTGAAATACCATTTATCCAGACTCGGGCCTTTGGGTTGATCATAAGAAATCCCGAACCCTGAACAGAAATGTAGCTGAATTTCAAACCAAATGAATTGTGCAATGGACAAGCACGTTTGTTTGATTTGTGATTCAGAATTCCGCTTGTAGTTACAAAAAAAGAGATGATTGATGGGAAAAATATATTTGACCAGGAGAAAGCCACTAAATGTTTATTCACTGATCAAGTAAGAAGTGACCAATAAAGGGAAACGTGGAGGAGCAGTAAAAAAATAAATCTATATTTATATATTGTATATTCAATAAATATATATGTTAATATATATTTTTACTGCTCCTCCTATTTTTACCTCCTATTGATTTATTTTTCTTAGTTGCAAAATATTTACATAATATTTATTTTATAATATATATATATATATATATATATATATATATATATATATATATATATATATATATATATATACACACACACACACACAAGTTTTCGAGAGATACCTTTCTTCCTCAGGTCTTTGAAATATTATGTTAGTCCAATAAAAAAGGTATCATTGCATACTGCAATATTTTGGTATCTTGTCTACGGGACTAATACGGCTTATCCAATCTACACTACTACATTGAGAGATGGTGACTATATATAGTGTGAGAGAGAGAGATTTTGCAATTTACTGGAGATTTTGCAGTTCATTTCCTCACCTTTTTGGTTTGCCTGATTAGTTTTTCTCAATAATTTTTTGTTAATTCCAAATGAGCCGAACTGCTATATCACTGAAATTTGGCTGTATCACTGAAGTTTTTTTTTTTTCCTGACAAAATGGTTCGGCCAAAACAAATTTTCATTTTTTTTGCCATGTACCAGTCTAAAGGGGAGGTGGAGAACCTCTGCACAATGGACCAAAAAAGAAAGACCAGTCCTAATTCCATAAGAGTTATGCTGGTGTAATGACACCAGACCCATCTTAAGGCATCTCCATTAACCTCTTGTTATAGCTCTCATGTCAGCACGGAAGACTATTGGAATCAGTAACATATGACTTGAGCAAAGTGATGGCCTACAGTCTAAGTTCCTTCTATAGCCTATTTATCTTGTGTTCGAGGCTTATCCTTGCAACAGTTTGCAAATAACGCTATTTAAAGACACCGAGGCTCGACCATTCATGTACTTGCATGGACTGCACCGCAGCTACATATGTACATGAATAGCAGATTATATTAGTTCAAGTAGTACCCTTCATGTCTGTGCATGAATAACATTTTAGTTATTTGTTGGGCATGGGGTTGTAAGATGTGTTTGGCCTTATTAATAATAAGATAATTGAAGGGGGCATGGACTGGCAGCAATCTGTGGCAGAAACCCAAACGGTTCCTCTACCTGAATGTAGATAATGGAGTTGACACTGCCCACCAAACTGGGATTACAATGTTCCCTTACCCTGACACAACCTTAGTAGTATTTTGTTTTGTATTTGCTGTAATAACCCTGTTTATTTTCCTTTCATTTTTTTTTTGACAAATTTTTTATTTTATTTTTCATTGTCAGTAAATATAGACATAGGTAATGTAGGGATACAGAAGAAAAAGGGAGTAGGGACATTGAACATCCTGTTTGTCAGACCCCAAATTAACTATGTACATCGTCAGATCTAGTCATGCAGACATCTAGTACTATTAAACAATTCACCATTATATTCATATATGTTAATTCAGTTCCTGCATGCGGAAGATATCTTGTGTGCCCTTTTGATTACATTTATACGTGTAGTGGTGGTGGTGACAACAAAGTTGCCCGGTAAGTCTGCTCTTACAAATAGGGAGTTTGGGGTACTGGTTATATGCAAGAGAAGAGAACAAAAAGAGAGGGGGAGAATAAACTATTTGGGGAGGGGGGAAAAAAAAAAAAACAAGGGGAAGGGGGGGAGTTTGGTCGGTTTGGTCGCAGAGTTTGCGGTCAATTGGCTAGATTGCGATGCGCTTATATTCAGTTATAAGGTTATATTCAATTATGAGGTAGTGGGACTGTTTGTATGGTGCTTAGTCTTCAACTCCCATTGATTCCATGCCATAACCCAGAAGTTTTTCTTTGTTTGCGCTTTCCTTGCTGTTGTTTCATATTTTTTGGTAGTTTCTAACACCTCTATACATGTTTGTATACAGGGGGGTATATCTTTCAGCCAGTTCCTACTTATGACGGTTAATGCTGTAATAATTATATGATATGCCAGGTATTCGTTCGGTTTCTGTAGTGTTTTGGGCCATATGAGTAACAGATAAGTTAATGGAGTATGTGGTAGCTTGACGCCTGTGGTATCCTCTATGAGGCTTGAGACGTCTAACCAAAATTTTTTCAATTTCGCGCATCCCCACCAGATATGGGTCATAGGCCCAGGCTCCGCGCCACATCGCCAGCATGTATCTGGTTTGGTAGGATCTATCCTGTGTAGCTTTGAGGGCACCATATACCACCGATATAGAAGCTTCCTGCTTAATTCTATGTGTGCTGTGTTTAATGTGAGCGTTTTATGTGCTCTCCGGGTCTGAAGCCATTCATCAGGCGTCAGTGTGTGGTCTAGTTCCTTTTCCCATGTTCTAATAAAATTAGGTTTTTCTGTGTTTGTGTTGTGTTCAAACAATCGATATAGGGTGGATAGTAGTCGTGATGGTGGTTTGCCCGCCATGCATAAGATTTCTATCTCATTGAGTACATAACCCCGTGTCTGGGAGTTGTCATAGTGTTTGGTTGCCCATGATTTCAGTTGTAGGTACGAAAAAAAGAGTGTGGAGGGTAGATTGTATTTGTTGCGTAGCGAGTCGTAGTCACTTATATGTCCGTTTGTTAGTATCTGTGATATGTAGGACACTCCAAGGGAGTTCCAGGTTTTGTAGTCAAATCCTGGGATCAAAACATTTAGTGCCCGGAGTTGAAGGTTTGGGGAGAATTGCGCTTTTTTGTTTTGGTTTTTGACCAGGTTGTCCCATATTTTGAGTGTAGCCCTAGTGGTTGGGCATATGTTTTGATATTGTGGCCTTTTGTCCCTAGGTATCCAGGCTAGGGTGTGTAGTGGCATGCTCTCGGTGTATGCTGCTTCTATTTGGGTCCATGCAAGTGGCGTTTTGTGGTGGTATGTGTTTACCAGTGTACTTATCATAGCTGCCTCATAGTATCTTGTGATGTTTGGGACCCCCATTCCTCCCAGTATGAAGGGTTTGTATAGAATCTCTGCTGCTGTTCTGGCTTTTTTCCCACCCCATATAAATTTATTTAGGGAGCGCTGAGCGTCTATGAGGAATAATTTTGGGAGAGCTATTTGTAGGGTTCTGAAAAGGTATTGTAGACGTGGCAGTACCATCATTTTTGCCGCTGCGATTCTGCCCATCCACGACACATATTTCCCCTTCCAGCCCTGCAGTTGATTGTTTATCTCCCGGAGGAGCTTCTCATAGTTGGCCTGGTACAGTTTACGCGTGGTTGGCGTGAGTGATATGCCTAGAAAGGTGAGGTGGTCACGCCTCCAGTCATATGTATATGTACTCTGCAGATGTTGGAGCCTTGGGTTTTTTATATTGAAGCTCATGGCCTGGGTCTTAGTGACGTTTAGTTTGTAGTATGAGCAGTTGCTAAATTGTTGTATTACTGTCTGTAGTGTAGGTAGTGATATCTCAGGTTTGGTTAGGGTCAACATCACATCATCGGCAAACAGCGTGATTTTGTGCGTTACCTTGCCAATTGTTATCCCGTGTATGTTTTGGTTTCCTCTGATGTGTTGAGCTAATGGTTCCAGAGCTAGAATATATAACAGGGGTGACAGTGGACATCCTTGCCGGGATCCGTTCGATATTCGGAATTGTCTGGAAGCGAAGCCTCCATTTATCACCTTCGCGGTTGGCTCATGATATAAGGCCGAGACTAGTGTGAGAAATCTTTGTGGGAAATGATATTTCTGAAGTACGGCTTCCAGGTATCCCCAGTGCAGCCTGTCGAATGCTTTCTCAGCATCTAGTGACAAGGCTACACTAGGTTCCCCGGTTTGCTGGATGGTGTGGATGAGGTCAATTAGTTTTCTGGTACCATCGGAGCCCTGTCTGCCTCTGATGAATCCCACCTGATCATTTTTTATTAGAGATGGTAAAAAGTTCCCCAATCTGGTTGCATATATTTTTGCCATTATTTTTAGGTCTGTGTTCAATAATGAGATTGGGCGTAAATTTTGGCATTTGTGTGGTGGTTTGCCAGGTTTGGGTAGTGTTGTTATGTGTGCAGTCAACATCTCCTGGGGAGGGGTTCCAGTGGATAGAATATGATTGTATAAATTCACTAGGTGAGGTGCTAGCGTGTGGGAAAATGTTTTATAATATAGGTTCGTAAACCCATCTGGGCCTGGGGATTTCCCTTTTAGGGAGCGCTTTTATCGTCTGTTGTATTTCACTAAGTGTGATGGGTTTTTCTAGTTCTAGTTTGTTATCCGATGTTAGGTTAGTTAGTTGTACTTCTCTTAAGAAGTCTGTTATGTTAGATGTGTGAGGCTGATATGTGTTGCCGTCGTTTTTTAGGTTATATAACCCTTCGTAATAGTCCGCCATCATGTTATTTATGTCCTGTGGGTTATAAATTTTGTGTCCCTGCTCGTTGAAGAGGAAGGGTATTTTGGCGTTCAGTTGTTTCTGACGGAGTGTTGATGCCAGTGCCTTCCCTGCTTTGTTTCCTTGTGTATATGAATTGAGTTTTAGTCTATGCATGATGTTCGTCGTCTTTACTATATGTGTGTCATTGATTTGTTTCTGTATGTGTTGTATGTGTTGTTGTCTGTCCGGTGTTGGTTGTAAGATTTGGGCTCTAGTTTCATCTCTAAGGGATCTGAGTAGATTTACATACT